CGAATTTTTTTTTGTAATCCATGATAAAATTTTTTTAAAATTTGTGATTTTTTTTTTTAATCCATGATAGAATTTTTTGAAAATTTGTAATTTTTTTTTTTTAATCCAGGATCGATTTTTTTGGAAATTTGTTTTTTTTTTTTAATTCCATATTATTCAAAGAGAAAATGAGAGAGATGATGATTTTGAGGCCACTCTATCCCAGCCATATTATTTACATATCGAGTCCCAACGGCAACAATGTAGGGATGAGCACGACAGTGCAGGTGAGCATGAAAGATGGACAATCTTCGGGGATTTTAGATTGGGAACACAACAAAACACTAACACTTAGGGATTTGGGAATAGTCAGACGCCTGCTAATATCGATGATTCGTTTTTAGATCGAATCAATGAATTGTTAAACGAATTCAATCAATGGCACCAGCGTGACCAAGAAGAACAATAACGTCGTCTATCATTTTATTTTTAGATCATATGTTACTAATTTTATGCTTTATTGTAGTCCATGTATGTTGATATACTTATTCCATGATAATTATATGTTTATCCTTTTGTGTGATGTAAATTAAATGTTGAATGGCGGTTCATGTAAGGAAAGAACATATCAATATTCGCATATTCATTCAAAAACATGGAAATTCTTAATGGAGTACCTTCATTTCTTATTGAATTCCTAAAAAACAATATTTATAATGAATTTTAATAATTTTTTAGGATTTTTTTTAAGCTTTATTCTGACCGATTCACCCCATTCCTGATCCCGATCGCCGATTCACCGATCCGGATCGGTTTTTTGGTAGCCTGATCCGGGTCACCGATCCGGTTTTTAAACCATTGATTACAACTGATTCACCAAAATGAGTCTATTATTTTACATTTTAGAGGGGGAACAAAAGAAGCTAGTGTGTGTTTAAGAAGAAAGAAAAGGTTGCTTGACGCCACCTCTTAAATTATAATAATAATTGAGAACGATGGTGCAAATTTTAAAAGGAAAAGTACATTGCATATTATCGAATGAAATGATTTCCAATAATGGAGAGGATTTGACTTGCCATTGGGATGCTGCAACCACTTCAAAGTTTCTTTCACTCCCATGAACTATAATTTTCCTTAGTTATTGAAGCATACGATGCTTATCCTACTTCAAATAGGTATAAAAAGTTTCGCTCCCCTGCTCAAGCTGTAACCATGCCTCTTGTGCACTTTCGATTGCTCTCTCCTTCTCCAACACCCCATAATTCCTTTCATATTTTAGGGTGTGCATCATCATCACCAATAACATTTGAATATCTTGGGTTGTGTTTATATGATTAGAGCTGGGTGGATGAAGTGGAGATGTGCATCTGGAGTCTTATGTCATGGTCACATACCAATAAAACTATAAGGGAATTTCTATGGGATGGAATGTATAAGCAGTCGAGAAATAAAATATCCATAAAGTTAGTGTATCTTAGATGAGGATGTTGCAATGGCTCAGTGGTATGATAATAAAAGATGAAATTCGAAATGAATACATTCGAGGAGATTTAAGAATAAATCCAATAGGTGATAAAATGAAAGAAAGTAGACTTAGACGGTCTTGGTCATGTGTAGTATTGACCTAAGACATAGTAGGTTTGACGGAGAGATTTAGTTCAAATAGACAGCACTAAAAGGACAAGGGGATGGCCCAAATAGATATTGATGGAAGTAATGAGATTAGATCTAGTGACTAATGGTCTGACTGAGGGTATGAAATAAGATTCGTATTGTCGACCCCAAATTATTGGGATAAAACTCGGACGATCATGATGATTCTTACAGGTAAGAAGCTCATGCACAACCTTGTTTAAATTAATGAAGCTACTCAAAGGAGGATCTCTCTCTCTCTCCAACATTTTCAATATTTTTTCCTTAGTCTTACCTCCTCCTACATACATATTACTAAGAAGTACTTATCCCCCCACATCTTGGGTCTAACTAATTGGAAGCAACACTCCTTCACCTCTACGTACACGAATGAAAACCCACCACAAAATAGAGAAAAAAAAACGTGCAAATACACATCATCCTCAATATAAAAAGAAAAATTTATTAATATATAACTAATTTATCAAATTTTTAATATTTTAACAATTTTTAAATATTCCAATATTTGCATTTTGATGAGTTTTTAAATTTATATGAAATCGGTAAAATGTTAAAGAGTTTTGATATATCTCTTTAGAAAAATTAAGCAAAAGAATGGGTAAAGAAGATCATTTTTTTTTAATAAAAAACGTTCACCACTAACTTGAAAGTAAACTTTTTGTGAAGTGTTGGTTAACAAATACCACCAGTTCATGGGGAGTACTTGGAAATGACATCATGTTTGTTAAAGTCCAAAGTTTCTCTGAAGAGAAACTTGGGATATACGATAGGAATGGAAATGAATCATAAACACGTATAAGATATTGAGAACTACCAGAAAATGCATGATATTGCACTTAGCCTTCCCATACACTTTCCATAGTAACCCGGTAGACATTGTACACTTTCCTTAATAATGTTCATGGTAAACCATGGAAGTACATCAATTTTAACTTTGAAATTCTAACCAAACCAAACCTTGTTGACACTTTGTGATTTATCTTATATTTTTTTGAAGGAAAGCAAAGGGAAAAGTTTATGAGTTGCTAATGTGGTCCTCTTCCCAAAATCTCTATTAGAGAATGACTTTTGGACTAAACTTTTATAGGCCAATAATCTCAACCACTTTGATTATGAATTTTAAAAAATAGAATTAGAATTAGAATTTAAATTTGAATTTTATGATATTTTATTTTGAAAGAATTAAAATGCATAGTCTATGAAAATTTTAAAACAACATGTTTTTAAAGTTTAAAATATATTTTTAAATTTATGCTTGTGCTAGTCGAGATTATCAACCTGTAGAATTAGAGTTAATAAGAGAGAGTTGGAAAGCGCTCTTTTAGCAGCGTCATTGATTTGAGTGAGTTGTAATGAGTTGGAAAGCCCTCTCTTTCTTTCTCTCTCTCTCTCATCAAATAAGTTAAGAGCAGGAGCTTAGCAAATTTCTTTTGCTTAAACACACTAGCTTTTCTTTTTCTTCCATAATGGACTTATATTTATGTTTAATGCATGCAAAAAAGGAAAGAATTTGGGCTTTCTTAGACCCGACTCATACAAGAAATATCCCCAAAAAAAAAAAAACAGAAAAAGAAATGTCATCCTTGTTTTGTGTAGTTGATATAAGCATAGTGGCAAACGATCTATTCCTCCTTATTTTGAGTCGACGAACCATACTCTCCAATTCCATCTAATTTTGAGCCAACAAACTTGAGTCTCCAATTCCCTATGAATATAATCCACATGCCATCCAAGTAAGATCGTATATTAATAAAATTTTGTGAAATAAATTAACCAAAAAGGAAAATACAATATGTGAGAAGTAAAATATTTAAGGAGAGACTAAGCACACATGTGTTAATAATGAACTACCTTCTGCACAGGAAAATCACAATTATTCTTAGCCATCAAATATGAAATTGGGAAGTTGAAGAGTTTGTCATTTATCACCTTCAATGATTAAAATTTTTCGAACTTTGTGTAAAAAAAGAATGGCACACTCCTGTGTCTGCTTGGTTCCACTTTGACAGCTAGGGGTAGTTGTAGCCTTCTTATAGTATAGATAAATAGTCTCACGATATACAAATCAATAAATGAGATAAGTTTGGGTATGTTTTAAATTTTAGTTTTATTGCATGGATGGGGGTTGATCAATAAAAACTACCTATATTATGTTACATTGGTTTACGCATTTTCCTGTCCTTATGCCCTTGTGTATGCATATACATGACTCAATCATTTAAAATAACATATTTTAATATTTAAGTTCAATTTTTTCTTTTTTCCAAAGTCATGATCATAGTGGCTGAGATTATTTTCAAGGTATAATTGAAAAAAATTGTAAAGAAATCCCATATTTGAACCTAAAAGTATTGACTGGCCCTAGAGAAACCTAACTACCATATATAAACATGTGAATTGCATGGAATGAAAGACAATACCGGGTTCATTGTATTTGGGCTTGAGATTGTGGGAGGATGGATGGCAAGTGTTGTAGCAGTGCAAGTTTCAAGAAGCTAAGATGTTGTAGTCTCAACTTGAGCAAACTCTTCATCCACTTCCGCTCGATTGCTCTCATTGATCAATCCAACTTGATCAGCAAGGTTCAATGCATTTACATTCATAATTAAAGAATCGACAAATGAGACCAGTACGCATTCAACCATTGGATGTGGATGATCCCTATAAATCAAAATTTTATAAGTACTGGTAGAATATTATTTTTGCCCTTTTTTTGTGGTATATTTATTCGTTCATCATGGAGTGGTGGCACGGTGGTGGTGATTACCCATTAATTTGGTCTTTTATTTTGTTCTACACTTTTTATCCTTTCATTTATTTCTCAACTATAGATGAAAACTACCTCAAGGACAGCATAGAGTTGGAATCCATGAAATTATGAAGTGGGGAGAGTATTTCCCTTTGTGAGAACCAATCCTTAACTTGAGTCGAATCAGTTTCTAGAAGTCCATGAGTATTTGAAATCTCTCCATGAAAATATGTTTGCATTTTTTTAATACCACAAGGGTCAAGCAAATCAGCCAAGAGGTAAAGATTTATATTTAAATTTTGACAATTTCTGGTTGAGAAAAAAAAATACATGTAAATTAGTTGGTTTGTAAGGTCCAATGATCGTTCCTTTCAATTCATGCAGCAAAAGGCAAACAAATATAGTTTAGGATACTTTCTTTTTGAAATAACATTTACTTGAAGACAACAAATTTCACGCAACATAGAAAGAACAAAGAATGGTAGAATAATTTACTATTTTTTCTATGATCTCACTTTGCGATTGATTAATCGCTCGAGTGTATATTGAATGATATGCTCATAGAGTTCTGCTTCTGCCTCTGCTAGTGATGTTATACTATTAGTTTCACCCTATAAAGGCCTGAAAGCCAAGATAGAGATGTTTACTTTGTTTCTTATTCAAATATAGTTTGGTTAACGATAAGTTTACCAATTAGTGAAAAATGAGTACCTTAATTTTCTCTCTACATCCTCAAGTTGATGATGGACCCTATTAATTTCTTGTAGAAGCTCCTGATGTTTAAGAAATAATTAGTTATTGAAATAAGAATCACAAGACTATAGAGGAAAGGGACATGAAAGATCAACTGTAAGGGGATTGCATATTATAAGGTTATTTATCTTGGCAATGCATTGGATAGTTTATATAAAGATCTCCATGAAATAAAATTTGATTGAAAAATATGGTGGAAGAACAAGCCGAGCGTCTTAGCTCTCTAGTTTAACCATGACAATATGCTTCTAAAATCATATATCGACCTCTATATATATTTTGAACCTCAACCCTCATGTTTATATTAGAAATTACGGACATGAGACTTCGCCCCCTCCTTAGTTTCGTATGCAAACAAATCGATGAGGTTGTAGAGTATGGTGAAACTCAACCAAAAAAGCTTTTAAGAAGGGGTTTGGGGTAAAAAGAGGGTTTTAAAAAAATGGATTTAGGAAGCAAACAAAGAAAGAGAACCATAAATAAACAACTAAACTAGGGAGATGCAAATAAATATAGGTGAAGAACCTAACTACGAGATGCAGGAAGAATAACAAATTAAAGAGCATGGAGACAAAAGAAGTCAGTTTAGTCTAAACATGTGTAACATAGAATGTAAGAGAGAGTATTATGGAAATGCGAGTATGATTACGAAGAAGAAAAGAGATGATGTCCTCATGAACAAGGCAGAGAGATATGAGTATGAAATGCGAATAAAGATAATAATATAATATGAGAAGAGATAAAATGAGAGAGCGGGACAAGAAAGCTAATACTAATCAATAACATGCATTGAGAGTAATAAAACTAAATACAAGAAAGAGATAGAAGGAAATAGTATTAGAAAGAGTGTTAAGATAAGTGAGATAGAGAGAAATAGAGAATGAAGCATTGAAAAAGAGATAGAGAAGTAGATGAATATAAATTAGTAATAAGACAAATAGATACAACATGAAGATAATAAGAGAGGCTAAACTATTGAACAAAATATAAAGGGGAGGGGTAAAATAAGCATACAAGAGAATGGAGGATGAGAGGGATGGAAGAGATGATAGTTAAACTATGAGATGGAAGAGGAAAGAGAATATATCATTAATCAAGAAAAATAACTATAATAAAAATAAATAAATAAATGCTTGATTGACAGGGTGAAGAAGATGACAAGATCTATGCTATCAAGCGAGCAAAAAGGGGAAAAGAAATAAACACAACAAACTATAAGAGGTAGATATAACGAGAAAAGAGAAAACAACCATGTAATAAAATAGATGAGAGATTGGGGTGAGAGGAGAGAGCCTATGCTATCAAATAAAAAAAACTAGGAGGAAACATCAATATAACAAACAAGGAGAATACATACTCATGAAAGATAAAGAAAATAAATCTACACTAAAGAGGATGGGAAAAAGAGGGAGATCTAAAAAGAATAAAATGGGAAAATGAATAAATGCACCAAACTTAACGAAAGGTAAATATTACTAAGAAGAGAAGTGTGATTATTTAATGAAGAAAATGAGGGATAGAGCGTTGATGGAGAAGAGAAGATCCATGATACTACATAAGGAAGCAAAGAAGAGGAATAAATACAACACAATAAAAGAAATAAATTCAAGTTACCAAAGGGAAAATGATTATGCAATGAGAAGGAAAGAAAAGAGAGGATTAAATATAACTTACTATGCATATTAAAGACTACATTGAATGAGAAAGCAAGGGAATGTAAGTAGGATCATGAATAAGGGAAAATAGGGACAAACATATATAAAAATATGGCTAAGAGAGAAATAAATGCAAGAATAAGAGAAGAAGAAAAGAGAAGTTAAATCATGAAATAAATAAAGGGAAGCAGAAAGCCATCATTTTAAAATGAATGCTTGAAAAATCAATGAAAATAGAAAGAAAACATATTTAAGCCGGGTCCTCAGGCCCGATGCCCAAAGTCAGTGCTGATTCAGATTGTAAGTTGCACAATCAATCCTGAACTTTTTCGATTTTCAATGGGATAAGTAGAAATAGGAAGAAGAGGGCCCGAAAGGTCTGATTATCTAAAGCGCCTTCGGTTAGTAGTGTAGTTTGAAGGAGTTTGTAGTTGTAATTTTAGATTGAAGGATTTGGATGGAATGGCGATCACTCAAGTGGGCTCACCTTAGGGCTTTTCTCTCTCAAGTATAAGCTTAAGATCAAGGGATTTTTGGGCATAGCCTAGGCTCAAGATTAGGGGAACTTGAACAAAGTTTCGACTCAATATTCAGGCAGCTCCCCCCTTAAACCCGAGGCAAAATGGGTTATTTATAGGCAAAATGGACTCATGATAGCCTGTAGGTCGGTTATGTGTAATTTTCGGGCCATCAATACCTTGACGATACTTGGATTGGTGTTGACGCTGGTTGGAATGGCCCCATGTCATTAATGTTGCAATAATAATGGTTGGTAAATATTAATTGCTCATTAATGTGGCTTTGTATGACCTGTCAGAATCTGACGCCATTGGCAATGGCGCTAATGGCATTCCGACTACTTTCAAATATTGTTCTGAATAGGTGTGGCGCTCTAGTGACTCTGATCCGGTTCAGATTGACCAATTATAGCTTAAAGCTATTTTGAGTGGCGCCGACGGCATTTGGACTACTACTAGATACCAGCTAGCACTCCGTCTTGGTTGTACCTTCGTCTGATTATCAACCAATGAGAATTTGACAACCTTGAGCCATACTGAGGTCTGACATGTCAGTACGGGGCCTGTCATTGCGACATGTACAGATTGACATGTTGCCCGTCATCTCAGTCATATCGGGCAAGCTATTTCTCGCCTGGTACAGTTCTCAGAACCTGACACTAATTGAATGGCGCTGACGGCATTGGCATTGGCACTGCCACTAGGCTTCTGAATGTTCTAGAGCTCACCAGGGGCTGGGTTCTACTGGGAGTGGCGCCGAGTCGCACGTTTTGGGACTAAGATGGCTTTGGTACCTTGCCATCAGACTTTTGGTAGGGCTTTGATACCTATTGAGGTAACATCAGAGCCTTTCCTTTGAAATGCTTCATGGTCAAGTCATTCTGAATCTGTCTCCCCTTGTTTCACCTCTTAATACCTTTGGTCCAACTAGAGCAATAAGGGTTTGGTGGAGGCTAGATTTACGGAGAAGAGGTTCTGGTGGGCTGAATGGTTTAAACTATCTGCATGGTTTGTCTGGACATTTCAACCTATCCATAACTTCTCAAGTCGAGATCGGGGTGTCTATACATCAAGAAATCATAATTCTAGTATAACAAGAACTTCTAATTAAAATAAGATTTGCAATGACAGTTTTACCCCAAAAAAATCAAGTACAATTTATCAAAATACACATAAAGTTTGAAGTACTTAATACGTAGCTTATGTGTAGTTTTCAAAAATTTGAAACCCATTTTGATGAGCAATTTGAAATTAGATAAAAATATATTTGAAATACGCTAAACAGTCCAAAAATAAGGTGTATTTTGATTAAATTTCCTTAATATAAATAACTCCATAAAGATGCATCATTGTGCTACAAGAAGATCATCATAACCCCAACTATTAGATTCGAAACCGAGTGGTTATGGATGCCTCGCAAAGTTCAAGAAATTTTTTCTTGGAATTTGTTCTAGACCAATGGTACACCCCTCATCTGATTCAACATCTAGTGATTTGGAGTAATCATGACCTTCTTACACAAAAAATAGACAATCTTACTATATACTTTATGATAAATAAGTTGTGAGCATACCTCGATGCGTGGGTGAGGACTATTTGAGATGCTTTAAGACAATCCATAAGGAACCCAACATAGGAAGACAAAACAAAAGATTCAAAAAAGGGAAGCACAAATAAAGCCTTTCATCTACAAACATGAATGTGCATGCATGTGTTTGTAAGAGAGAGAGATACCCACTTAATCGAGAGGCCAAATCGTCTTCAGACCTCAACTTCATGAGGCCTTCTAGGAAACTTTGTTGCAAAGACAATCATAGTATAAAAATTATAGTCAGTCTAAATCAAAAGATAATAGAATCACAAATTTGAATACACATAGCACAAGAGAGAGCAGACACTTCTTCATTTTGAAGCCTTTAGAAGTTGCATATCAAACATAAATGGTAGAGCAGAGGAACCCAATTGAGAATAAACCAAAAAGTAAACATGAAAACTTAATAAAACACGCCATTGAGAAACAAGAGAACCATTAAATTTTAAACTCTTACCTCCCTCATACATGCTCATGAAGGTTCATATAGCGCTCAAAAGCTTGCTCAATCGTGTAAAAAAGCACAAATAGCACAGACAAAAACAACAAAATATAAGAGACCAAGTCATGATCAAGATCAATGAATACCTCAAAGTAAACAAGAAAAATGCTAGTCTAATTACATCTTTTTCCTAAAAAAAAGGAAGGTTTGTTATTTTCAGAGAATATGATAGAAGCGATATCGATGTCACAGAGAATGAAGAGCTCATAGGCTTTCTTGAGGGGGCCATTCCTCCCCTTAGAGTAGCTCACATGTTGATTAGTCTTGTTTTCTTATCTTCTTAATTGGAAGCTTTTTTTGCCTCGTTTTTTCCTTACTAACACAAGTTTTATCAAAGAAATGAGAAATTCAGGCTACAGGCTAAAGAGCAGGGTGTTTCTTCTCTTTGGACCTGTTTGATAACAAGAGAGTTAGTTCTCAGAAGATGTAACTTGCATTTTACTATTCATATTTGATAAAAAAAAAAAAAAAGTAGGATACAAATAAAAGTTCATTTTACTATTCATGTCCCAGTTTTACACGTAAAAAAAGTTCCATGGTAAACCATGGAACTTGAAAATAGAAGTTTTTCCCACCCCGATAAAACACCCCTCTTCGCACCTGTGCCCTATTTCTTCACCCCTCTCGTACAGCCAGCCCCTCGCCTGCGACGGCTAGCCGCTCAGCTTTTCTTCGCAACAGCCAGCCGCTCCCCCTGTCTCTGGCTCTCTCTCTCTTCTCTTCTTGGAGCCTCCCTTCCCTCTGTTCTCTCTCTCACCCTTGCGAGCAAGAGCTTGAGGAACCAGTGCGAGGTAGGGAATTTGCGTCACTTGTCACATACGCCACTTTTTTCTGTCCTTTTTTGGTTTTTTTGATAACAAGAAACTTGCTCTATAGTACAAAATTTGCCCTAATTTTTCCAAAATTGTGCTTCTCAACAAACAGCTCGTGTAACACAAAATTTGCCCCTCATTTTCCAAAAATTTGCCATTTTTTTCAGTTTTTGTTCAGATCTAGGTCCAAAAGCATGGATTAAATATCACCCACCTTGTAGTTTTGCTATGGCCCTTCAAAGATTTGTGGAGGAGACTGAAAAAAAAAATTTGCCCATGGTTACAAAAACAACCTGCAAAAAAACTACTCAGCCATGGCTGAACGCTGAAAAAAAAAAAAAAAAAACAAACAAACAAACCAATATGCCATGATGGCAACTACTCTGCTGAAAAAGCTAAAAACTTGGTATCATATGCCTATGTAGCATGTGTGGGGAGAGAGAGAGCTGAAAAATGAAAAGATTTGAGATCATATACATATGTAGCATGGATGAAGAGAGAGAGGGAGGAGAGCTTGCAAGAAGAGAGAGAGGAGAGCTTGCAAGCTCGTGGTTGGAACGGTGAAGAGAAATAGGGCTGCAGCCCGTGAAAACATTTTCCTATATTATATCCCCATGTAATAAGATTTGCCACATACCATTTTCTTTTAAAAATAAAAATGGTATAAACACCTATTTTATGTTTTTAAAATCTTCAGGCTCTCTAAACTATCATGACCTTTGTACCTTTACATTCTATTATCTTCTTCATTATAGGGCACACTTTTCAACAATATGCTCCAACAGTACAACACTTGTTAATTGTTTCCTAACTACTTTTATTTAATGAT